ATACATTCACAAAGAAGCAAACAATGGATGTTTTTAAAGTGAAAGAGGCAGAACACTTTTACTCAATTACTATTTGAGAGTCAAGGGGACTAAAAAAGACATCACTCTTCAAAACAAAAGCTCTGTAGGAGCTGCATCTCAACAGCAATCATCTTGTTATCTAAAGAAGGTTTTGTTGTTTACTTTGAATGGTTCTAACTGTCACTGGACCGGGCTCTGAATCTAAAAAGAAAGTATTGATACTTGTACTAAAAGTTATTCTGACCCCTGACCTGTCATTCAGCATGAACAGAGAGCAACTGATGTTTCCATTAGCCTGTAGACTAAGCCGTCACTCCCACATCATTTCATATCACACTTTTGTTTCCCCTTCTGTGCTTAATGGCAATGTCTGTTTGACGGCTCTGAACAATTTTCCATAAACCAATGCGTTGGTTGTCAGCCAGTCAGAAGCAACCTTTCTTTCTCATTGTTTGTCAAGAAGCATTTTGTTTCAAGTTTAGGGACCTTCTCTGTAGATATGAGAGAGCTAACATTCTGTTCCAGGGTAAACAAAAAGTCAGAGTGAAGTAATTGGCTGCCAGTTTGCCGTGTAAGGTTTGATTGACCACTGACTCCTTCAAAAGCTTAAATATTCGCAGTACAAAACATCAACCCTGACACATGCATACAGCAGTTATATGGCAGCTCATTTGCTCTCATCCACGCAAACAAATAGATTCTCGGTCGATAACACAATTTCAGGGCATGGTTAACATTCGAACAACAGTATGAGATTTAGAACAACCAAGCACTGGGCAACATTTTGCTCTGGGGATAGAATGATAAATAAAACGTGGTCTGATAAATAAATGTAGAGCCTGTGTATTTAAAAGCCTCTGGATGAGATTATTAGCTGCTCACACAGCGATTAAAGCCAACTTAAGAAGTCGCCAGCGGCTGTGTTCCCACTGCCTAATTGAAACCATTCCTTATTTACTCATTTCCACTAAGGGGATCAGAGACCAAGCAAAGACGGTTTCATTTTCCATTTAATATTTACTGCCTTGTGAACCATGTGCATGCAATAGGATCCCTCTGGGGTAAGGACAGGGTGTTCATGTCGCACCAAAATGAATGGGGGAGGAAATAAAAAACAAATCGCAGATCCCAGAGGGATTAATTCCATTTCTAAAAGGCAGCCAGCAGTGGAGGAAGGGGGAAGTGAGGAAGGAGGAGCAGAGGGGTGGTAGAGGAATATGTTTCAACCGTTTGCGATGGCGGCCTATTTCTTTGTGTTAATTCCTCCACGCTTTTTAACTTCTAAAGCTCCAGCATTGTGGCGCAGTAGGACAGAGTGTGATTGAGACATTTGGAGGAGTATTTTTAACCAAAGCACTCGCCCCGAGGGCACAGCATATGATTTGTTCCCTTCTCTTCTTCCTCTCTTTTTCGTGGTTTCACAATGAACCTCTGGATTTGTGCCCGGGAGGAAGAGTTGGGATCCGAACTGAATCAGGTCTCAAGCTACATCACAGGAGCTTCCTTCTGATTGGCCCAAGCAGGCTTTTTCCAGAAATCCCTTCCTCCCTATTTCAGTCCTGATGATGTGGTGAAGCACATTGAAAGCACAGCACATCATTGTGTTATACAGCCTGCAAGGGATGGCTGAACAATGTGAGCTTTAGTCGAATCCGTCTACCAGAGGAAGTGTGGCTTGTTGAGGTGTAATGGAGTGACAGATTCAATGCAAATGGCTTAAAGCAATCTCATTCGGAAAGAATGATAGTGGTAATCAATTATGGATATTGAAAAGACAGAAATCTGATTAAATATAAAACCTGATGTTTCCTTTTTTTTTTACATCTCAAGGAAAAGTCAGTACTGTATATACGCAGTACGCAATATACGTATTGAAGGTATATGTACTTTCTGTGCTATTTGTGTAACAGCTCAGTATCTGATTTTAAAACTATGAACTCCACTTAGTTCAGTTTTTATATACACATGACCTTTTCCTCTTACTTCTATTTGTTAATTTAGTTGGGTCGTAGAGCATCACATTCACATATTAAATTTTGTAGCTCCAGCTCAAATCTTCAACACTAGTACCGTATGATTCTGTGCCAATTTACATATGTTAATCCCACAAGCTTTGGCTTTAACTTTAATCATGCCTCTGATATAAACGTTGTACTCCGTCTGAACACAGAAACAATCTGGATAAAGCAGACTGGACTGAATTGGATAAAAATGCAATATTTTCTTGGATTCCAGCCGTCTTGAGGCTGATATGCTGCATATGATTATGCTTCCAATACAACAAATTCAAATGTATAATGTATTTTGTCACATCCGCAATCATACCAAGTACATGTGCAATAAAACTTATTTGATGGCTTCGTAGATAAATAATGTATGAAATGCGACTATGAATATAAAGACAGAAAAATAAACAATGGAGACAAAAGAAAAGCATGTGGAATTATACATTAGCAGCACTTTATGTGCCGTTCAATAAATCACTCACTATTATGTTTGAACATCAGATCCACACATTACTATCACAGTTACACAAGAGCTTGTTAGCTTTGTGTGCAGTGGCCAACGGTAATAAATACCACAGATGTTATGCAGAGCTGCTTTGCACACTTTAACACGACTTTGACGTCAAACAAGCAACAGCACTCAGAGTATGTGAGAGCGTGCTCATGTGTCAGGAGTTTAACTGTGTGCAACTGACCTCAATTTAGCCTCTGATGCCCTCGTGTTTGCATCGTGGGAAAAATACACTGATGTGTGTATGGAATGAAAACCATTTTACAGTGCTCATAATTATGTATTTTTTTTAACAGTACAATGACAGTCCCATATCTAAAAAGAGGATGGAAGTTAGAGTCATGAACTGCAGATGTTGGAGTCACAAGCAGAATAACTCAAAAACAGATATCACTCACATAATAATATACACTTAATCTAAGGTTTTGGATTTTAAATATTGAGTATTCTGTGTCCAAATACACAACATTAATTGCATTCCAGCCTTGTCATGCACATACTGCTATAATTAGAAATTATTTAGTGTCGCTGACTTTACCTGAGACCAAACACACAAAGTAGTGTCTGGCAACGTCTCGCCTATGTTCCACCCACACTGGCCTCCCTCCCTCTCTCTCTCTCTCGACATCCTCTCTCTGACCTCCAATTGAACTTGTGGACCCTGACTTTTCCCATGGATTTGAACATTGAGTTCTGTATAGTCTCATTGACTGTAATTAGCCATAACGGCATTTCCCACGTCTTGTGACAGCTCGTTCAGACAACCAGACCTCCTCCCTCCCTCCCTCCCTGCCTGCCTCCTCTCCTGTCCTCTCCCTGGTCTCTCGTTTTGCATCCATCTCTTTGTGTTGGCGCTCTCCCACGTGCCCCAGCTGTTTGGCCTGTAGTAAATGTCGCCGCGTACAGCGCTCTGCTGGGATCCAGCCGCCATGCATCCGGGGCCAGGCACCATCTCTCCGTTTTTTCTCTCTGTTTGGACCTCTCTGTTGTTCCTTCCACCATCTTTCCTATCCATCCTCCTCTCCTTCCTGCTATCAAGCTCTCCATTTACTAATCTAATTGCTCCTACTCCTGAACCTGAACCACTCTTCCCTCCCGAACTCATTACCATACATCCTGATTGGCCGATGTTGCCTGACAGGAGCTGCGTGTGGCTTTTTGTAACACAGCTGCTTGCTTCATGAAAGGCAGTCACCAGCGGCTGTCTGCTGCAGGTTGTCATCCCTCAGGGAGGGGCAGGGAGGTGGCAGGGAGAAAATTGCGCTGAGAAAGAGCTTTGTGCAGCACTCTGTCCAAAACTTTATTTTTTTAAACAGCTGGCCACTGACTGATAGCACTGTATTAATGTCATGTCCCTGTCTGCTGTTCTTGGACAGTTACGTTGAGCTGATAGGGAATGAAAGCAAGTGTCAGAAGAGCCGCCGTGATACAGAGCTGAAGCAATCAGCTCTGATTGGATTTTGAGCCACTCTTATTGACTCCCAGATTGAGGGGATGGAGCGAAAACGTGGTACTAATTGCCCAAAACAAATTGCGAATGAATCATAGTTGGCATCTGAATTGCAAATCTTCACGTGGCCTTTGTATTGTTTTTATTTTTCGTGAAGCCGTTTTCCTTCTTTGGTTTTCTGTTTTAGTGCAGTTTGAGAACATGTCTAGCTGTAAGAGAACCTTTCTACAAAAGTAAAGAAATCCAACATTAATTAAACGGAAGAAATCAAAAAGAGGCTAACTGCTGTGAAAAAGGACTACAATTTACATAATTGCATAGAGTGGCAGAAATAGTCCAGATACTAAGAAATGCAGGGGAACATTTTTCTTTTCATGGTTTTTCTTAGACTTACCTGCATTTATTCAATGCCATTCATATTTATTGCATAGCTGTATGAAGACTGGAACAACTATAGGTGCTAAATCGTTCTCAATAAAAAAATTGAAATGTCACATGCCAGGTGCAACAGGGAAGGAATACAGGGCAGGACAGAATTAAAGCCTTCAATAGTGAAAAAATTACTTCGATACAAGAAGGCAGGAGAGTGGCTGGTATGCGTATATAGTAGGATTGGCTGATGGCTGGAAAGACTGGGGGCATCTGGTTGACAGGTGGGGTTTGACAAGGTCTGGAAAGGTCTATGTTGAGGCAGGGGGTAGAGGGAGGTTGTGAGGATAAAGGGGAAGAAAAGCTGACAGGGAAAGGGACATTACACTGACAATAGAAATGACATTCATTTTAAAACTCACTTTGCCAGTTACCAGTGATTTGTACTGCTTCTTATCACAAATGATTGGAATAAAAAACTGGTATTAGCATGTATAAGATTGAGCATTTCCACCATAATCAGAAGGCAAAATGTCAACTTTCTTCAAATGCACTTACAGCACAGCACTCAGCACTTAGCAGCAAAGATGTTTCCATTGAAATTGTATTGTCTAACGTATTCGTTGCCCTTTGTTTCCTTCAGGTGGGACGTCCACGCTGCGCCTCTCGTCGGTGCGCGAGCTGCCGGGTCAGCTGCAGGAGCTTTACCAGCAGGGCTTTGTTCTTGCGTCCGTTCACCCGTTCATCCACCCCTGTGGTCCGGAGTCCAACAGCCCACAGCACCAGCTCTACAGGGCCATACTGATCCGACTCAACGACGGGTAAGAGCCACATGAGAGCAATTTTGAGTATTAAATGTGTAATTATCTGACATGGGAATAAGGGTCAAAGGGTCAACACATTAGGTTCCCCCCAGCCTTAGCTAATGGAAACTCAAAAATCCACTTACAGTTTCTGCAGACAATTTAGCCGTTAAAGGTTTGAAATAATGAGTAATGCATAGCATTAAAAGAAAAGCATTTCCGTTACATTGCCAGCTCAAAGAACATTGAAGCCACATAAAGCAGTCTAAAGGTATAAGTACTTACGGCTAATTATTGTTGTCCTTTACAGGAATATACAGAAAAATAGTCTTGTATTTTATAGAAGGAGAAGATAAATGTACTCTTCCACAAGTTCACAAGTTAAAATAAAGGTGTATTTTAACAGTATTAAGCCTCACTATCATCAGTGGGATGAAAGGTTGAGACAATTTAAGTTAGAGGGCCCTGACTAAAAGAGATGTGTTTTACTAAACAAAGACGGGGGCTGGCCTTGAGGAAATCATCTTTCAGGGGCGTCAGACTTCTTAGCTACTCCTCTTTTATCACAAAATAATGCAGCCATTATGGTCACTTAAGAAAAAATGTTAAGATCGCTAATGCACCTTAATTGGTGTAATTAGCGATCTTGATGGGAATCAGATTTAGCTTTGTTCTCATGTGATGAATGGTACAAAATTGGTAGGTGGTAAACGACATAAGGGTTTATATTGTTATACCTCCTGTTGTATGTCTTAGAATCTTTTTCGTTGTGGGATACATTCAAGCAGAACGATTTCCACGATGGCAACCACCTAAAAGAAACAGTGTAGTTGCATTTATTATCAGCTGTACAACCTTTCTGTGTTGCTTCAGTATCGACACCAGAGCATCACAACATCTGTTTGTGGCTCAGCGAATGTCCTGTGGGCCGCTGCATTTGGACTTGAGTCAGCAATAATCTCAATCCTCCATCTTCAGTTATTTTAGTGCTCCAGCCAAAACCGTCTACGTGGCTCAGAGTCACCGCCGGCCCCTACATCTGCCCTCCAGCCCTGTTTACGAGACCCTCTGTCCGGGGAAACATGGGGGTGGGCACACGTTTTTTTTCCAGGGCTTGACGCCAGGGAGCAGCTCCAAGGGTGGTTGAAGGGCATGTACAGTAGGAGGAGTGATGGACGATGGAAGTTGCTTTTGTCGGGCCAAAATCCTTAAAAAAATAAATACCAATCTCTGTAGGTAAGCAGAAAAGCTGCTGTAGCTTTTGGGAAAATCCATCCTTTGTTCTAAATGGGTCCAAAAGTCCCAGGGGTCATGAAACCTGAACATCTTATTCACGCCCACGTCAGTTGAAGTAAAAACATGACAATCAAAAAGATTGAAGCTAGGAGGAGAATTTCTTGAAATATTTTCCCTGGCAGGAGTGACATGCAGACAGGAGTCCCAGGAGCTGCTGTGTCTGGTCTGAAGTCCAGAGAACACCCAGGCCTGTTTACCAAAACACTGCAGGGCATAGATGTGTCTGAATGTGTCTGAGGGTGTGTGTCCGGAGGGTGTGTGTCCGCTGTGTGTGAATGTTTTAAGAACTACACATACTAACTCTGTTTGGGCTTACATTGGTCTTTGTGCATATAGTGTGTAGCTTTATTGTTCAGGACAAATCTTCTCACTCTCTGCTGTTCTTGAGCAGAATCCACCACAGATTCCTCACAGCTCAAAACACATTTCTGGAAGCTGACAAACCATTTTAGTAATTTCTTCACTGCTGAGCTTAAACACAACACCGCTGGTACTAATCTACATTGAAATTTTAGTCATTTAGCTAACGCTTTCCCCCACAGCGACAACACAATAACTGCAGAAAACCAATACTCGATATTACATGCAACCAAGAGTAAGGAGTGTAATAATCAGAGCTGCTGTGCCCTGACAGTTCTGCTGCAACCGCATACTGATCAGTCAAGAGAAACGAAACCGGGGACTAAAACTAAAGCACAGATTCTAAAAGGATAAGTCCTTGTCGCAAAGGTTTGTCTCTTTCTGTCTCTCTCCAGCTGTACAATGTAATAAACGGGGGAAATGTACATATACATATATATATATATATATATATATATATATCTAAAAACTAAAGAGACTTACTGTGCAAGGCCTTTGTGGTTGCTGTCTTCAGAAACAATAATGTATAGAGGATCAAGAATAATATTGAGAAAGGAGAAGGAGGATGACTAATGGGAATACAGTGAAAACATACAATAATTAATAATTAATTAATTAAAAATAAAATAAGAGGGAATTTGTAGCTATGATGCCAGAGAAAATGTAAGGACTCACGATAGAAGTAAACTATCATCTACAGTAAACCATCAAGATGACAAAAGAAAAGTAAAAATAATACAATAAAAAAACAAACATTTGAAGCCAAACCATTAATTGGTTTGTGCAAATGTATGCTGATGATAATTTCAATGTTTAAGTGCGGTGAGAGGCTCCAGAAATGTTGTCCTGAGGAAAAACTGCTTTGAGGTTGGTGCCAGCTGTTTAACATGCCTCTCTCTCCCCTCACCCCTCCTTGTGTTTGTTGGAGAGGACTTGTTTTCCTCCCTTCTGATGAAACCATTCACTGATTTTTCCTGTCATACAGTATATGAAACATCATCCACCGTGTGAGATAATTCATCACAGCTAACATGACAATTTCATTTAAGTTTTGCAAACCTTCAGTTTTGATCATTTGTACTGTTATTTTGTGCGGTGGTGCAAGAGGTTATGATAAGCCTTGCTTGCTGACAATCACCTGACAGCTGCAGAAGGAAAGGACAGGAAATATTTTTAAAAATCTATTGCTTTACAGTCCTACTCCTCACATCTAGATCCTCTTATCTGAGTCCTCTTTGTTTATCAGGATTGCATTTATTTAAACAATAAATGTTTCACTAAAAAGCTAAATGTTATGAGGTCGTCAGTATCGTTTCCATTATGAGATAATGGTAGAAAAACTTCTGTCAGTTCCTTCCTAAACAGAAAAATGCCCAATTGTCTTAGGAAGGCAACACGACTACATGAAGCCCTCGCAATGCCGTTGTTTAGCCATCGTATTATAGTAAGATGACATCAAGATTGCATTTATTTCACAACAAAATCATGTAAACATATTATGTAAATAACCTAATTTGTGTATATTACATTGTTTTTGTCACTTTCGTTGCAGTTGTATGTCTTAAATGTAATTTAGGTTAACTTCCTGTTTTATTTAGATGTTTTTATTTTGAAGGTGAGTTTACGCTGTTGACAGGAAGTTGTTGTTGCTATGGAAACAACATGATGGAGATAAGTAATATCTTCTAATCTACATATAAAGACGGAGAAAGTAAAGAATAAAGTGTATGTTTAAATGTTAGCACCCCCCGAAGAGGCACAAGCNTATAGCCACCGCCAGTCAACGTTTTTAACTCATTCAGTTAAAGGTGGGGTAGTAATTTTGGAGAAACCAGCTCGAGTGCGCTAGATTTGAAAAATCTGCCCACTTCCTTACAGAGCCCTCCTCCAACAGACCACGAACGCCACCATGACCAATGAGGGCACGGAGATAAGTTTGTGCACAGTATGAAAGGCTGACAGGCAGTAGCCATCCAGTTATTTTAGCCTGGCCGGCTCAGATGATTGGTCGTGCTTTTTACAGTACTACGGCTTCCACAGATGAAATGTTTTTATGCATTTTTTGTCAAAGCACTTAAGATATTCATTGCTATCGGGATGTTAAGAGCATTCCATGGAATATAACATAAAGTGTATCTCGAGCCGGTTTCTCAAACTTACCTACCCCACCTTTAACTATCTCGACATCTACTAAAAGTATTGGCGCAGTATTATAAACAGCTTTTTCACTTTGGGGATACCCTGATTTTCATTGTGCATCATCAGCCGGCCAAAATGTACTTTGTCAAGTACTTTGGTTTATGATTAACTACCATAAACAGTCCAATTAATGACACTTCCATCAGCCTCACTTTAGTGGGTGTTTAAAGGGAAAATGTAACATACTAAACCAAAACTAGTGAACAGGATTAGTTTCACAAATGTATTTTAATTAATTGGCTCTTAGCTCACTATGCTAAGTACTGCCTTTATGTGTCGCTTGTGCGGCTGTAGACCCCGAAATGGATAATGTGTTTTCTTTTAAATCTCCAGTAGGGTCCTTATTGTTCTGGTTAAAGTCTCAGTATCCTCCCTAAAGTTGGTATACGTTTTATGCCTGAGCAGACAAATTAAAAGAGTTAAAACTTACAGAACCACCAAAGAAATAAAACGCTAATTACCACAAATGGTGACCATCTATAATTAAAAAGTGCGTGAATTGTTCCTCAGTGTGCAAGTTTGGGAGGTATAACTGTTAAACAAACAAAGACTAAACCTATTTTTTTGTTTTTTGTCATTTTCTACCGTTTGACTTCCAGTGGAAAGCAACAAAATGTCAACACAATCCCTTTTCATACCCCAGTGAACAATGCATAATTGGAAACCGCACATACAAATGTTGTAGCGACTCCACCGCTAAAACATCTCACAAAAGAAGCCATTAACAGGTAATTCACAATTAGTTACCATGTGAACGTTCAGCTCCAGTGGGAGAGATTAGTCCAAGAAGAAGATGTTCCACGGTGAAACAAAGCATGTGACCCATCTGTGTTGCAGACAAGGGAAAGGGAGGGGGAGGGGGTTTAGCAGGTGTATTTACCCTGGAGGGGGCTCCAGGTAGGTGGGCGAGTAGGCAGGCATTTGACACCCATCTAACCACGTGAGACCTCAGAGGTTGACAGCTGTGCTGCACGCTGCATGAAAAGTCATTGCTTCCCACAGAGAAGATGGACTGCAGGTGATGCAGCTGCTATTTTTAACCCGAGGCCTCCCTCCAGGACTGAGTGCAGCGTTTCAATTGTTGGTCTCTCTCTGCCGCTATAACTGCAGTATAGTCTCTTTGTATTCAGGGTTTTATTCCAAAATGAGTTATTCATTGCAAGGGAAGTGACGCTTTTGTTCTAAACATTTGATCACCCAAATTAAATTAAATGACAGTGCTCAAGGGTCAGTCCTTGATTTTAAAAATCTCTCATTGTATTGATACAGTAGATGTATTGTTAGATTAAATAATACAATTAAATGTTATCACCATAAAATGCAATTACTTTAATCTGCCTCTTAACACACAAGTGCAGGAGCAGACCGCTTAGTATTGTTTCCAAAACTGGTTGTGTAAGGTCTATCATGCAGGTATAATAATTTATAATGTAAGAAAGAAAAGACAGCAAAAGTTTCCACTTCAAAACTCTACATATATTATGTTGGCTGTCTGTATCTCTCTGTGTTGTTCACTGAAGATGTCCCTGGAGCACAAAGCTGGTAGGTTGTGATCTCTGTCGCAACCATTGAGGGATATCCATCTTTTTTGACAGTGCCACCAGGCTTCTGCCATCGTGCCTTTGAATGTTATGACGCTGGGAAAAGAAACGAGGCAGCTCTCTGCACGTTGTAATACATGTTTCACAGAGCGTGTGAAGTTTGTACTTAACGAGTCAGTCGGCCCAGTTTCTGCTCCCCTGTGTGCTGCGACAGCGATATGTGCAATAGTGACGGGTGTCAGTGGCAGTAGAGCAGACGTGTTGTGACTATGTTTTCTATTTGGATGACATAAGCGCGGTGCGTTGGTTATGCTGTGAAGTCTGAAAGAAATACTAAGGCTGGGGGTTTAAAGTGATAACAGTGATTTTTCCAAAATGGTAAATGGACTGTACTTAAATAGCGCTTTATCAGGTTTTTACGACCCCTCCAAGCGCTTTACATTATGGGAAGTGTAGGAATTAGTGTTTTTGGATCTTGACCTAGTTAGGATGCCACCTGGGCGCCTCCCTAGGGAGGTGTTCCAGGCACGTCCAGCTGGGAAGAGACCAAGGGGTAGACCTAGAACCAGGTGGAGGGATTATATCTCTTCGCTGGCCTGGGGGCGCCTTGGGATCCCCCAGTCAGAGCTGGTTGATGTGGCCAGGGAAAAGAAAGTTTGGGGCTCTCTGCTGGAACTGCTACCTCCGCGACCCGACCACGGATAAGCGGGAGAAGATGGATGGATGGATGGATGGACCTATAACTCTGTAGGGAGTAACTTTCTTTCTGAAAATAACCTACATTTATGTCACTTAATTACTTAATACTCATTACATGAATAGAGTGTCCCTCTAAATTGTAATATTTATAATGGCAGGATCAATAATAAGAGTAAAGATAAAATAAAGACTGGGAAAAAATGGGTTCACAGTAAGCTAGGCTCTGCATGGGTTAAAACAAAAAGACACTGTGCTCAAACCTGACACACTTGGTTTATTATGTACTGAAATAGAAACGTTAAAAAAGGGAGTTATGCCCCAAACTATATTGTGTAAAGCGCAAGACATGAACCGTTGGTTACTAATTTCCTTAACGTCACTTATAATTGATACATTAGACAGCTCGATCTGCATCCAATAGGGGGGCATGTCAGAACATTGTCTGTGGTAAAGCAGACAGAGGCACGGACACGCACACAGTGACATGTATCTGCACTCAGAGGGAAGTCTTTGCATGAACTGTGACAGCCTTTAACACACACAGCAGCATTCACGCATGCATCTTTTACCCCCCAACACATCAGGGGTCCGTGTAAATCCAGAGCCCTGGCAGAGCACAAACACAGCTCTCACACACAACCACACACACACACACATACTATACTGTAAGACTCTGAAGCCTCCTGAGGAAAAGGGCGTGTGAGGCGTCTTCCCCTTGTGAACAGGATGAGAGGCAGGGAGGTGGGAGCCGGGGCATTCGTCTCCTCAGGGCTGGCTCTGGGATTTCCTCCAGAGGACAGAATAGGAAAATACAACATTTTATAAATAGATTTCCCCCTCTCAAAATACAGATATGGCCTAAGCGGGAAGGTCTTGGGATGGACGGACAGGATTTGCATTGAATTTCCTGATTTCTGTGCTCCCCATGTGTTCTCTTTCATCCATGAGGATCTTTGTCTCGCTTACTCTAAGTGTTTTATTGTATTTTTCTTTGCCTCCCACCGGGAAACAAAACCATTAACAAAGCTTCTGGATGCTTTGCAATTTGTTGATGGGGGGTTATTTTTGTATTATAGATTTGATGTCAGCCTGTGGATTTTTGATGGCTGTAATATTTGTACACATTTGTCTGTGAATGTGTATGAGTGTGTGAATGTGTCGTTGTCCAGCAGGCTGGCTGTCTGAAAGGCTGAAACTCATTGTCCTCTCTCTCCCTCCCCCCCACTGTGGCTCCTGCAGGGTGGAAAGGAGCCAGCCTGTCTGCCCGCCGTACAAACTACAGCTGGAAGAGTGTCTGTCCGCGGAGCAGGTGCCCACCCCAGAGCTCATCCAGGGCTACGTCAAGAAGGTAGGGGCTGCTTTACAAATACCAAGCTGAAGGGTTCATCTGGCTGTGCCCAGCTGGAAGAAGGGATGCAGTGAGGAAGGAAAGGAGCAAGAGATGAATAAAGATGCATAAACCAGCATCAAATACTCAGTCAGAGATCCAAGGCAGACATAAGTGCATGTGAAGAAAATCCAAAAACCAGAATATAAACTCTGTCTGCTACCGAGGCTCCAATGAATTTGTTCAGCACGTCACGCTGTGTTAAGGTTCAGAGAACACAATGTTTGTATGTTTACAGCTGCTTTTTGTGAATAAACCACATGGCTGAACCTGCTTGCGAGCATGCGGCTGTCAGGCTGGAGGCTCTTAACTGCAGCCTGTCACAATGCGTTCAGGCAGTTGCCAGTGGAGAACACGAGGTTGGAGGAGTGACAATAAAAAAAAGATGTATTTTTTTCCAACGTAATTACTGCTTCAAGCGGTAACAAAGGAAACACAGGGGTGGTGCTGATGTGTGTATTTCAGGAGTTGTCAGGTATAAATTAGTGGGAACTTTAAAACTTTGATTTTGATGCAGTTCCTCTAATATGAGTCCTGTAAACAAGCTTCTACTACTACCACTTATTACACGACTTAGTTGAATACTCAATTCTGATTGGTCAATTCAGAACATGTGACACGTTGTTTATACAGTAGAACAGACCGCTGTCAAGGACTATAATGACCGTTGCTAAGGAGGATCAAGGGAGAGAAAGGAAAAAAGGTTGAAAGACGGAGCGCTGGACGTCAGATAAATGAGCAGAAGAAGGCAGACGGGAAGTGAACACTAAAAGGAACACGGTAGGGGCTCTGAAGTGTTTAAGGACTTGTTAGTGGCTCAGATACTGTAAACAGACTTGGACAGTGCTGCCGTAAAGTTGTTGTCGCAGTTCCAGCTATTTCTATTCTGATTTATTTTTATTTACTTGCACTATTTTAACTATTTGATCTGTTTTATTGTGTTGCACTGTTGGAGGAGCCGGTGACCTAAGGTTTTCATTGATAGATCTACTCTGTAGCTATGTACACATGACAATAAAAGCCTTGAATCTTAAATCTTGGTGCGCCGTGGAACGGAGTATTTTTTACTTAGCGGAAGAAATACGATCATTTTTAAGTCGATAAAATCATTTCAATGAATATTTGGAGTCGAGTCGTTTGTTTGTTTAGTATCTGGACGTTTAATAACCTTCAGGCGGATCAAGGTCCCTCCACTTCGCGTCGGGCTCCCTGATCAGCCTGTCGGGTGTTCTTTTCCCCATAATGACCGCCTTGCTGCACATTGTCCATTACTTGTTTTGACAGATAGTTTTGCAATGCTGCAGTTTACCATGAATCTTATTCAGGCAGTAAGCAATATACTGAAAGCTATGTTTCCATGGGGGTTCAAGGCTGATGCTAATTTGAAAACCAAATAGCTTAACATGTCTGTACTTTCCATACTGTAAATGAAAGCAGCTAACAGGAGCAGGAATCAAATCCACTGATCTGATAATGAATTGGCTCCCCAGCTGTTGTGAATGCGCTGCTTGAAATAGCACTTCAGATGATATATAGGAACACACCCTGGTCTTTTGTGAGCTGGTAATGCTGCATCATCGTGATTCAAATCAACCACCCCGCTTAATCTGTATATTACCGACCGTTGTAGGCCTTTGAAGTCTCGATCCTGAACCTTACTGTACATTTTGCCCTTCGATTAGTCATGCAGCCGCAGTCCTGTAGGACCTCATTACTGTTGGTTATCATTTTTAATCTTTTGAGCTGCTACAGGCTTGCTGAAGGAGGAGGTGGAGGAGGCCATGCTAGAAATCTATTAAAAGGGAAGTGGACATGGATGAGTGGTAGGAGTGAGCAGAGAAGTCCATTCCCTTCATCCTCTCTCTTCATCTCTTTCTCTTATTTTTACCTTTTCGTCTACTCATTGTCTCAATCCCTCGACCTCTCTTTCTCTCATCTCCCCTCAATCTCTCTCTCTGGGCTTCTCATCTTGACCTTCAGACACCTCCTCCTGGTGCCACTTTAATAACTTACGGGGGGAAATAGGAAATGTGGTCTCAAGTCCAAATTGAAATGGGTTTTTCACTGCAGGCTGTTGATATTCTGGTGGCAGAATAAGGGGAAGCTGCTCCCAGAATATTTTTCATTAAGTTTGCGCTCTGCATCTTTTCTGTTAATGAAGAGAAACGATGCGAGGAAAAGTTTCCTTTTTGACCTCAAAACCTCATTTTCTTGACCTGAGGTGGTCTTATCTACTGTAAGCCATTACGATGTCTGTTCGTTTAGATTAAGAGGTTTAGAAGAAGGTTTGGATTTTGTCACATGAATTTATACTGCCCTTTTATTGTTCAGTTAGCTTGAAATTCATATATATATAGTTATATAGAGTACAGTATGTACAGTATAAAGTTATTGTATGGCTGTTCCATTATTCATCCAAGCTTTTGTCAATAAAATATTTTGTTGAATTAATAATCTTAAAACTAACAAATGTATCCGGCTAGTTATTTACTCGTTTACATTGAATCAAATTGTCTCTTTTGACTCGGAGTTTACATATTTTGTGATTCATTCCCATGTGTCACTCATATATATAATACAGTACTTTTGTGGTTTATCTGAAGTCTTTTTATGATATTGGACTGTTGAAAAAAGATGGAAAAGGAAATCTAATCTGATGGTTCTACTTTGTCAAACACAGGATTTGATAAAATGATAATGATAATGGTACTAAAATAAATTCAATCATTACGCCGCACTGCGTGAATCTACTTTGCGATCAACTGCAGCTACATTAGACAGTCAGAGCCATTCATCTCTCTCTCTGACTGCCTGCATAACCGTTAAATGAGATACAACAGTTTCCTTTTATCTCAGCAATTCCATTTCAACATATTGGTATGGGGAATATGATGTGGATGCACCCAGAGAGCGTTCACTGATATTAAACAATATGGCTGGAAACAATACGACTGTTTTCCAATTTAATTTCATAGTGAATAACCTGCGATTTGATTTGATTCTCTCCCCTCACTGTGGCTCGAGACCGAGACGGGCACCGCCTTTGCTTGGGGGGTGGGGGGTGGCGTGTAGAGGGCTGCAGAAATGGAGAATGGCATCATTAACATTGTCTGACAGTTAGTTAAAGTTTCAATCTCGCTCTGTGGCAGAATCCCAATATTGGCATAAAATGCCAGATGATAAAAAAAAGACAGAAAGAAAGCGGAGCGCTGGATTTGCGATGTGGCCCGTGCCTGACTAGGGTAGTGGCCGCTCCAATCGAATCAACAACTGAGTGATTGGAGAAGCTGCTGGAAAATAATCAGAGGGGGGTCACAAAAAAAACAAAGCTCCAACTGATGCAGATGACTATCACAAGTATTGTGGGGGAAAACAATTCATTTTCTAGATAAATATTCTCAAACTAAGTCTGAAAGTCTGGTTTCAGTTTGAGGTGTCGCGGGAAATAACTTGTTGAATATGTTCTGCTTCATGCTGTTCTTATTTTGCATCCTGAATTTACATTTTAGGCATTTGAATAGCTAATGAATGCAAAAGCAGCTTCACAAACAAAATCTCAAATAGTACATGCATTTAAGTCAAGGGACGCAACTAATGAATTCATTGATTAGTCCGCCAATGACAATCATTCAGATCATTAATGGTTTAGTCTGTACATTTTAGATTTTGTTTTTGCCAAGCAACAGTCCAAAACCCATCAAAATCAACTGACTGTTAAACTGTACAGTACACATCCATCCACTTGCTGTTTCAACTCTCATGAAATGAAGAATCACTGAATGCAAAGCAGCAGCAGTAGCATTCACTACTTGCATCATCCTAACTTCAGTTTGTTGTTCATGCTTCCAACAGCAGATCCATGATGCTGCTGACCAGGGGGTGATGTTCGTAGGGTTTGTCCAGGAACCGTATGGGGCCCCATGTACCAGGATCCGAGAACCAGACACCCCCTCCCTTTCCCTCCACTCCAGCCCCAGCTCGGTGCTCGGTTCCCTGGGCAGCTGCAGCCCTTCAAACCCCTCAAGCCCCAGAAACCATGCAGCACCTGGAGCTGAAGCTGACAAAGACGGAAATGAGGAGGCTCCATGCGAGGATGGGGAAGCAGCAACGAGTGGGGAGAAGATTCAAAGTGAGAACACTGGGAACCATTCAGGGAGCGGGGTGGAGGGCAGTCAGGGCGAGGGCTCGTCTGTGGCGTCTCCAGTGTCAGAGGGAGATGTGGAGCACAGTGAGGGGCTGACGGAGGAGGAGTCGCCGTGTCACAATAATAACAAGGACGGTGGCAGAGAAGCCAAGGAGAGGCTGAGATACCGCCAACGGAGAGGTGACGGTAAGTGTCTCTGTGGTTGCCATCATACACTCAAACAATAGAGGTAAATTGTGTTTTAAGCAAGACATGTATGATCAGGATCATGAAGCTCGAAACATTTATTATTACGGGAAAAGAGCGAGGTAACCCACAACAGTAGATGAAGGACGTAATGAGGTATGTGTGGATTCTTTATTTATGTATGGGGTAATGGAAAGCCATGGAAACATGTAATACGCAGCAGTTACACTGAATTTTAAGGAATAAAGATACTAAATATCAGACAAATATGATGAATATACCTACAATTACAAGGATATCTAAATACTGTATACACGTAATACTGTTTTCTTAAACAGACAGCACCATGAAAACAAAGGTTATTTTACCTTCCCTTTTTACTATGCAAAAAGCCAATTGCACATATTTCTGTTGCACTTTTTAAAATGTCCCTTTTTCAGTGGACACCACAAATATACGTAGCAGTTATTGTTCAGGGCAAACATCAAACTGTCACATTTCTCAATATGTGGCCATATAAAACCCAAAGTATTGGTATGGCTACATAAGATGGGCTGAATAAATATGCTACATGTTATTTGGGGAAACAGATCTTTTAAAAGAATATTAAACTAATCAGCCCAACAGGGGCTCTATAATTAAATGTCGACATTTAAAAACTTTACAAAGCATTTCAACTTTACAAGACTCTTGGGTCCAGATGACACAGACCTGCTGCACAACTATCCCTACAAATTACACAGGAAGGACCGATGAGGGATGATAATTAAAGGTCAAATTGTGAAAGGCTAAAAATGATTTAGTTTTTGCCTCATGTTGCTACACACGTGAGCTCACTCATCACATCGCAGCGGAAGCAGTCTGGGGTTAAATCCCATACCAGGGGCATCCTTTGATAACTGCAGTCTCCCATTCACATCTATTTAAACTGACATCTTGTAGTCTTTAGCCAGTATCTCTCTAGTTATGTGTAGATTTTGTGTTTTGGTTTCATTAGGAGCCATAGCTTTTGGCTGTTTAACTAAAGCACAGCGTGGCACTGTAGATCCCTCTTGAAACACTTGGCAACTGCGGAGGTGTCATTTCTTGCTTTTGCCTCAACAATGTGCTGCCTTGGGATATAATCCCCTATATCCGTTACACAAAAGGAAATCGTCTTATAGCTGTGATGCATACAAATTCACACTTAGCCGATGAAGCTTAATCTGTGAAATTCACCAGTTTGTCGGGTTTTTCGGAAACTGCACATCTCATGCGTGGTTACACCTCTCCGAGCCATTAAGGGTAGCTTCCTTTTCTGCGGGAACACTGCTGAAATTAGGAAAGGCACGATTTATTTGAGCATTTTGGATGACAGATGGAGACACCCAACACCCATCACCTCCCTCCTACTGTCTCTCCTCCTCTCACCAAACCTATTTGTGATATGTGTCAGTGCAAGGTGCAAACTGTGCATCGGACACACATCCCACTGGGAGTGTTAACGTTTGTGTGTGTATACTGTATATTTGTATGTACAGTGTAGAAAGCGATTAGGTTTAAAGCATCTAAGACTGTGAGTTGCATAATTCATTTACTCTTTGGTGTGCAGCTCACATACTTTGATTAAGTTTGTGTCTTTATGTATATGTGTGCAGTAACACAAACTTGGCATCACAGCAGACCACAGCCCACTGGTCCATCTGGGCCTCCCTACAGTGCATTTTGCAGCGAGATAATCCCCCACTGCCTCGTCCTCTACCTCCCTCAGCTTCACAGCTCTCTCTCTCTACCCCCACCTCCATCCCCCTGAATCCCTGCGACAACGCCAGCAGCACTGGTGTAGCAGCCAGAAGGGGTGGTAGGGGAGCCTGCCAAGCTCCCATGTCCCTCTCTACTAATGCCCAGTCTGCCGCGAAGGCCCAAGAGTCTCAGCTACTGCTGGCTTGTCCTCGCTAATCCTCAGATCTCGAGGTGAACGCAATGCAAGTGTTGGTGATAGAGCTGGCGAAAGTCTGAGGCTTATGATGGAAAGATGATCACCATCCCAGAGTCTGGAGCTAAGGATAGAAACTGAGCCTATAAGTTTAGAGACTCAAATGCTTGGAAGGTTTAAAGAAAAACGGATTCTGGTGTAAGACAGAACGGAAAGTATAACACGGTAGTGACAGCTGTACTATTATGTGGGGATAAGAGGAAATACAGCTCATTTGCATGAGCAAGAACGTTTTGTAGGGAATTAAATGCCACCTGGAATGTTTTTTATCAGCAAAGGGGTGAAAAAAAATCACATTTTATTTATTTGCCAGCCTTACCCTTTCCCAGTGATTTCTGTGTACTACATGAAAGTCACATCATCAAAATGAAAAAAAGAGAATATTAACAAGCCTATGTTTAATTACCTAAGATAAGATATCCGCTTCTCTGATTGGTTGAGTTTCTTGTCATTATGTTTGTTTATCAAAGCAACTAACAAAGATAACAAGCTTTAAGGGAAGATCATAAACTGAAGTCAAGATATTAAATGAAGAGCTTTATTGTAGGTGTAATCCTATTGAAGTTCAGTCTGAAATCATCTTGTCAATGTCCAGAGGGAGTCATTAGAGTGGCTCGGTTTTTCCCCTGAGATCTTTGTTATCTCTGCTCTGATGGGATCAGTGTCCAGCTTCTGAGATTAAAGAAACAGACATTGAATTGATGACATGTCATGTTTGAAAGCCACGCTGCTAAGATCTGTTACAGGGTTACTGCGGCTGACCACCGGTATCAGATAAGCCTTTGAAACCAAATGCCTTCAATGTCTTCACAACACTCATGCGCCCACATGCTTTTTAACTGGACTGCTAGCAACAACAAGTCCTAATGCTTCAGAGTTTATTCTGAATGGATTATTTTAGTTAAACCTGTTGGTGTGTCTGTAATACGCAAGTAAAGCTATAAATATCACATTATTGACGGTTAGATTTAACTTCCCTGTCCATATGAATTCTGAAATATTAATAAGGTCAGTGACCAACAATGTTTCTGGCTATTAAAAATGTGTTAGTTGATAAAAACAACCAAGAAAACTAAAAAGACTGCAGTATTATTATCACTGTTTGTTATAATATCACCTCATCATCACAAATCAAATCTCTGTTTTGTTTCATTAATACAACAGTGTTTGCCCGTGTCATTAATACTGTAGCTTTAGGGGTTACATCTTGGTGAGACATTTTAAATATGTGTGTTAAAAAGTTCCTTAAAGATAACAGATTACTTACTGTAATGTTTCTCCTGAACATAAAGACTCCTCTGCTGCATTCTGCACTGATTCTCTCCCGGGAATTAGGAGATGTGTTGTAGCATCTCAAGCTTGTCAGAGTCACAGTGAACACACGACTGTGGGTCACTGCTTTAAGTGTTGGCTGGTTAATCAGAGCAAGGAAGTGATGAGGCATACAATTCATTTATAAATTCTGAGCCTTCTCATTTCGTATGATACAATGTTTTATTGATGCTTTGCAGCGATGCAACAAGTCAATCACAGCCCACCCTAAATCAAAACGGCATGTATCTGAATGTGTCGACTTCACATCGAGTCAGATTGCTAGGGGCTGTACCTGAATCAAGATTTTTTTTAAATACTGCAGCAAAAAAGGAAAGGAAGGAAGGGAAACAGGCAGTGGTTTGACTGACAAATGCTAGCCGACTCGAGTGCTTCTCGACTGATTATTTGAATCATACACGTTTAGAGGGCAGCCCTACAGATTTCTATCAAAATGATTTCTGAAATACTCAGGAATGCCGAGTTAAAGCACGGCTCTAGTTTGACTGTTATACCGGAGTCCAGAGTAATGGATATCAGCAAGACAGATTTTTTCATTGCTACCTAAAAATATCATGAGATAGTCCTCCGATTTGTTGGCATTACCGTTTTGCCCCGCATGCCGAAATTCCCCGTAGGCAAGGTAGTTAATCCCTCTGATGCTTCAGTGTACAGTATCTCCTGTGAACAGAGTGCAACTGAAAAGATGATTACACACCCAGAGTCTTAGAATAGGTTAGAAAATTAGCTACCTGCCCCTCCATCTGAATTAGAGTCGCCTCTGTGCCATAATCATAGCATAATTACACTTTAATGAAATATGATGCATGGAAAACTCTCAGCTATTATACAGAAAAAATTATAATATGGTGAGAAAAACAGGGCCTGAAGAGCATGTGTTCTTGCTGGTGGCTGTTATTTTATGTCAAGCCGTTATAAATAGCAAAAATGTCCCATCAGCATCAATGTTATCATCATTCTCAAATATGGTTTGATGTTGTTACTCATCTAATTACACAGTGATTACACAGAGATGCGGATTTGCTGTATTTTTGAATCTGTGATTATACATGACAATTTTCGAAAAAGCTGTTTTATGACGTGCCTGAAGCACACAGAAAGGAATCATGAATAAAACCATTGTGATACATCATTCTAGACTTGTGGACATAAACTGTAAACCACTTTAAACATTAAAGATCGCTACAAAATCTTTCACGGTGATGCCACATGTTGTTTTGGCAAGTCGGAGGCATGTTAAATGGGAAGCCATTTTGGTGTTGTGTGTTTGCCATGCTCTCTACGCTGTAACATGGGTAACATAGGGACGGACAAAGGGAGCGTGTGTGAATATTCTGCATCGATTCAACTTTTCTCAAGAGTGACAAATTATAAGATCTGGGGAATTTTGGTGGCCAGCTGTCACATCATCATCAGTCAGACGAGCCAGACAAGAAATGCTTATAAATGATTCATTCTTGCGGGATGTCTGCCGGGCGGATGGATGGACGGAAAGACCAGAGCGAGTGGGCCATGACTCCCCCTACCACCACACGTGTGTGTGTGTGTGTGTGTGTGTGTGTGTGTGTGTGTGTGTGTGTGTGTGTGTGTGTGTGTGTGTGTGTGTGTGTGTGTGTGTGTGTGTGTGTGTGTGAGAGTGAAAGTGCCGCCCGTTCTGCTCGTCCATCTGGCTCACTTGTGGAATGACAGTCTGTCTGACATTTGTATTCGAAAGAAAGGAGAAAACATTAGCTGACTTAATTGAATTTGCACATCCCAACAAATAAAACTCTATCACTTTGATTTAGAATGATATGAGAGAGGAACAGTGACACGCGTACAATTGGCAACTTTCCAAGCCTGTTTCCCCCTCATGAGAGAGACCCACTGCATTATGTATATTTCTGCTTGATGTAAACAACAGCTAGCTGGAGAGCTTATAATGCATATTCAAGGTTATACTATAAATTAGCTCGGTCACAATTAAATGGTCCCTTTCAGGTTCTGCATCAGCAGAGTAAAATCACTGCGGGAAAACAAAAGGAATACGACGATTACTTGTAACAGTAATATATTCAAATTGCTTTTGATTCACTTCACGTCTGTTGTTTTAAAAGAACCAAGTGAAAAAAATGAGTAGCAGCCTTGGAAAAAGATGTTCAGGGTATTGTAAGTCCAGCTCAGGGCAACAAAAGGCCAGGTTGAACTTTTGTTCGTTTTATGATGTTTTTGTGTACCAATTTTAGTGTACTAAAGTAAATGGAAATGCTGCTCTATTTTTCTAAGACCATTTTCTTAAGCTCATATCAGTTACCAAGGGTCCTTGCACAGGGTACGTGACACATTTTCACAGGAAGAGAAAATCAAACTGGTTGGATACCAGAAAAGCACAAAATGCGTGTGTTGCTGTTGACCAAGAACTCTGTGGCCAAGAAGCTTTTTCACTGTCCTCACATTAGCTGAGTTTGTTGGTTTGCTTCTCTCAAAGGAAACAAATGTCCTTCCAATTGGTCTTAAACATTTAGCTCAAAATGTGGTCAGGATTTTAAAGTCACAACAAAGTAAGTTATCCCAAATCAACAGTAGTTAAAGTTTTAAAGAAGTGGTTCATAACTAAATACTGCAGAAGGTTGTTCTCATGGCAACAAAAGTAATATATTTCAAACCCAAACTCAGTCTCTCAGCCAACCGTTTACTGGGCCATTTCTTATATCTTCTGGCAGCTGGGGAGGGAAATTGCTCCTGCAGACGTTGCCAAATTGCACTTTGGATTGGGGCCAATGTATGGCAGTAATTCAATAATCATGTAGTAAAATGTGGGACTCCCACAGAGGTTACATCTGTATTGTCACAACCTTTACTGAGTAAAATCAATTTAAGACGTTTTATTTTCTGTTTTGTCTTAACAGGGGTGGAGCTGCTCGCTCTGTATAACCACCCGCCGGTCAGAGAGGGCCAGGTGAAGTACTACACTGTCAAGGTGCCACTGCGAGTGCAAAACTGTGATGAGGGGGTCAAAGGCGTGGAGGCCAACTGGCTGGACCACATGACGCAGCACTTCAACAACGGAGCCTCATTGGTCGATGGATACTTCCACCTGGGCAATACAAATGGTAAGCCAGCACGACATTGTTACAGCAGAACAAAGACTTTTCAGAGGAAAAATATGTGGGACACAATGTCTCAGGAGGAATACAACTTACTGCAGTTTTAATATCCACACATGCCGTGTTTAGGTTCCACCACACACACAATCAAGACACATTCGAATAAGAGTTTTGTAATGTGCAAATAAAACAAATAACACAATGTAGTTTAAGTTAATATTATTAAAAGAGCCATAACCTTTGGTTTTGGTTTCTTACATTTTCTAGAATTGTTCCTCTACAGGTACTTTTCCATATCTTCCCAAATTCCTTTCCCCCTATTCATAGCGAAAACCGCCAACATCGAGCAGAGACCAAAAACAACGTCAACATCTATGAGATAAAAAGTATTTGGCCATTATGGCATCAATTATGCATCAGCTGGTATGTATCTTCCACCGGGGGAAACAATCTGAACATATTTCACAAATATCTTACAGGATAGCACAACTATGAGTTTGATTTTTGGCTTTAAATTAAACGAATGAACAAGCCAGCGGATAGGTCACCATGAACTTTAGTACTGGCATTCATGTTTATGACAGATAAACAGACATAAGCCTGTACACCGATAAATGCTCTGTTGCATTAAAGTTACTAAAAGACTGGATGAAGGTAATGGCTAATACATTGCTAACGTTAGAAATTGGTGTTTCAAAATGGCTTTACATACGACCCCGACTGTGAGAGTTCAGCAACATGTTAGCACTCGTAATTTCTTTGAGTTTTAAGTTAACGAATATTAGAAAAATGCAATGCTGTATTTAAAATGAGTGGTTTTCACCAGTCGGCTGTGCAGCTGCTCGAGTACAGGATGCTGGAGTTTATGGAGCCGTCTGGTACCCTTTCCTAAACTATTTCCCGTTTGGGTTTCCCTCTTCCATCAGACCCCGGCGGCTCTGTGCCTCTCTCTGACACTGGAGAAATCAGCCAGCCAGAGTAAATAAGAATCATATTTCATTAATCTGGGAAACTGAACGCCTCAGCAACTCTGAAACATAGATAATTAACCTGATAACAAATTAGTGCCTCCTTGCATATTTTATGTCCTGAGAATAAAGTAATGAAGTGTATTATTATGATTCAATTTTATTCCGTCCTCTAACATGTTTCTCATTTTTCATGCGCTGCTAAGATATGAGTCTCTTGAACAGTAAAACGACTGGGTAGGATTGAAAGCTGCGTTATGAAACTGCCTCTGCCTTCCCCGACTTATAGGACTGAACTCAGCCCTCAGCTTTAGCTCAGCCACTTTAGAAAACAGACAACTTTACAGAGGTGAATGCTGTACTTTGTGGATTTGTGGTCTCTTGTGAGTAGCTGGCAGTATGACATCAAAGCAGCATCCCGTTTGTTGTTAGCAGCTAATTACATCAAACAGCCGCTCCGCTTTAGAATCAGTATCCATTCTTGCCGTTTCCATATTTAGCAACTTCTTTGAGATGAGCTTCTGAATTCCTGATGAGACGCTCGACACGATACAGGGGACCATCTCAACCTCATAAACATCAAGGACATGTTTGACAGAAAAACAGCACACTAAAGGGAATGGACTGAGAGACACAGCGGGCATGCAGTCGGATGGATGATCGTAGTGACAGTGACAGCATTGTTTTGAGATACAGAGCAAACCTAGCTTTCATCTACTGACAGATACACACGCAGTCTAATACAGTAAGTGTACTGATCTTTTTTTTCGAAGACTGACCTCCTTCTGCCCGATTATTTTTGCATTAACTTTTATCCTGTTGGACTTGTATTGTTTTTAAACCATATATTCCTGAGTCAGGCAGGCGGAAGCACTGTTTCATAATCGATGATAATAGTCTTTCGGAGAGTCGGTCAGTCTCCCACTTTGGTCCAGACGTAAACATCTCAATAGCTGTCATGCCATGAAATTCAGTGCTGGTATAAATTGTGTCAAAAGGGTGAATCCCAATGACCTTGGTCCTCCTCTGACATTTTGAATGCACCACCAGGGGGTTGACATTTGGTGTTTGGAGTGGATAGCCATGAAACTCAGTACAGATATTCATGTTGCCCTCAAGAGAAATTGTTATTCTTTGCTAATCAGATGAACACAGTTTGTATTGAGCCATCATAAGGGAAACATTAACAAAATACCTGCAAATCTCATGACATCAGAGTTATAATTGCTGCCAAGTAGGTTTACACATACTATGTTCTTTGGTGTACAATTTTATAGTTATGCAGCCTTAAGTTCTACTTTTTATTGAGCGCACATTTTAGCTAATGTTAGCATGCTAACTTTCTAACATAAAAGGATGAACATGGTAAAACAGTAACCTGTTAAACGTCAGCATTTTTGCATCGTCAATGTGAGTATGTGCACATGCTGACGTGAGCATTTACCTCAAAGCACCACCTTCAAAGCTAAAGTGCAGCTTCACTGATCTGTTAGCATGGCTGTAGACGTCCAGTCACTTGATGTGTTGCTTCACTTTTTATTATATCTGGGAGTTGGCAGGAACCATTTCAAACCTCTAAAAAAAAAGAGCCTCTGTAGTGCCTTGTTCACAGGAATATTGCCTCAAGGATAAGAGAGATCTAAGAGATGCAGGTCCTTGTCTGAACCCCTTGAGTCTCATATTAAAATCCTGCAAACCTGCCTGATGGGAAAGTTTTAAGCAGTTGTAATGCTTTGTAATCTGAGATGGGTTATAAAATCATTTGGGCATTTTTAAAATACAGATTTCCCATCAGTCATTAACCCATAAAACAAAGATATACTCTATAGTCCATTGCTAAGAACGTTGCACTGTGATTCAACAACAACCACTGAAATAAATCCATAAACCCATTATTGTGCTATTGTTATCCAAAGTCCATCATCATTTTGTAGTTAATTGAAATTAATTTACCATGTAGCTCTGTGCATCTGATGCCTGAATTCCAAATAGTCACATGATTTATAGTCAACGTGAAAGCACTCAAAGAGCTGCTTGCGATGTGTTATGGAAGGGAGAAGGGAGAATGTGATTGACCGGCCAATATCTAAAATGAATTTTAAAAAAACGGGCAATATTGTCTTATTAGTCGTGATATATCAGTAAATTAGCCTCATATAAAGTGGTTTATTGTCCTGAATTGTTTGCTGCTTTGGCATGATTGTATCTTGCTGATCTTTATTCTCTCGGCCAGCCTAATTGGATTAGTTGGCAACATTAAGAGGATTTATTCACCTTTTGAAGACATTTTAAGCCTAACAGATTTTAAGCCAATTGCATTTATTGCAAGGAGCATGAAACTGATACAAAATAAAATATGATTATTACTCTGATAATAGTATAATACATCTGAGTTTTGTTTTTGTTGTTTGCTTACTGATTGTTGACCTACAGCTCATAAATTGTTTTAGCGTGCATCACTGTGCATGTTGCTGCTTGTCCTTTTCCTAAAAACGGTGTCTTTCGTTGCTCGTCGTTAAGGCTGTTGTGCATGGTCCAGAGGGGTGCACATTTAAAAATGAACCATGTCCCCATGTTCCTTCTAAAGATGGGTTTCAGTGGTGAAGCTGAATGATGAAGCATTGTTTGCATACATGTGTATTTGTGTTTGCTTAGATGTTGTAAGTCCTTCTCTTATGGTGCAGGTTGGTTGCAGCGAGTGGAGATTGCGCCCGAGCCACAGGGTAGGATATTACAGCAATATTGAATTTACAGATCCTAAGCTGCACGCAGGCCCCAGTGTCATAAGACACGCATTAAACATTCATACAAACTGTGGCACTGTCTGCAAACACGCACAGCAGGCCTACATGCAGCCCCATAAACTTTCTAAAAAGGTACACACATACACCCATTTTTGACACTAAAATACACACAAGTTCACACTGCCTCCCTGGAGTTGCGAGCAGGGTGAGGCTTTGAGTTTTTTTACTGAAAGACTGACAGTAATGGTGTTGACGGGGAGTTTGCTTTTGTTACTGGTATAGCTTAAGCTATCTCCAGAGCCACAATGAGGATTTGTAGCCCGGTTGTGAGACATTGAGCTATTCATATGCATGGCAGTCGGCCTTCACTGGTTTCTAAATGTGGGCAATGCCAATGGAGGGAGAAAAAAGGGGGGAGAGAGCAAGAGAGATACAGAGCATATGAAATGCTAATACTTGTTCTGTGAAAAAAAATCTGAGAAGGGAAAACATGAGACAAAAGTTGATGAGAGGGGGAATTAAAAAAAAGCGATGTTTGTGAGTCTGTATATATTTATATGCATATCTACATAAATCACACATTTGTGTGTAGTTGCATTTATGTGTATACAGGTTTTGAAATGACAGCATGTGTCTCTTACACCTCTCAGTTGCAGTCAAAAGACAGGTTCTCCTAGCACTGGGAGTTAGAAACCATGCAGTTTGGTGTATTTGGGCACATGAGCAAACACACTCGGGTGGTTACACTTCTCATGAGCATGGAACATTGTGTTCCAGGTAAAGGTGTAAACCAGATCAACTGCAGGAACCACTGGTGGGATAAACATGAACATCCATTATCACACAAATGTGTTAAATAGAAAGGTAGATCATGATCACAGCTGTAGGATTTAATGAAGTAATTTTCACTGTGGAGTTAAAAAGGTGCCATTTATAAATTGGGTTCACTTATGAGCACCGGGATAATCATTACAAATAAGTAGCTCAGCAGGCACAAGTCCAACAAAAGGTGTTAATATCTCTGATAATCAGACCCACAGTGTTACTAGTGCTGAAGTTCCACTTTGTATTTATTCTTTTTCTTTTTAACTGAAAGACAATCCTCTAGTGAGGAGATTACGCTTTAGAGAAGAAAAATATACTTGTACATGTAAATATTTAAAAACTTCAATGCTTGATTCCCAGTACATGTGCTTTCGAGGTTCACCCTCAACCTCAGTGTGCTTTGGCCTGTGCACATGGCTGCACTCATAGTGTAATAACATAAGTATAACTAAGTATATTAATGAATATTAAAACATATTAAAATGCTTGCCCAGCTGGAGTTTGCCAACCCTGTGTATTAAGAAAAAAGCAAACAAATGATACATTACCAATAATCTTTTCCTTCTATACCAGCTAAAGTCTGCCCGGTAACCCGCAGGTACCACCTGCCAACCGCTAAACCTTTGGCTCTGCCACATCCAATACAAACACACAGACACACGTTAGACATCCTGGTCTCCTTTTCTCTCTGTCCCTGCGTCTGGATGTCCACTCACCCAGTTTGAAATATAGATAAGCTGTCAGCAGCCTGTCTCAAGCTCTCTGAAGCAGCGCCTGGCACACATGTTTAAAGGATGTCAGCAGACATGACCTTGGGCAGGGTCACTTTCCGGCTTCGGCAGCATCTCGACTTAAAAACACATACAGTGAATCGTGAGAGCGCATGGACATAATTATTTTGTTTTGTTTTGACACTCAAAAGATATATTTTGTAATTTCCATGGCCAAAAACACAAAGCACTAGAAAGATTGCCACAAAGAATATTATAAAATATCAGTTGAGCAGTCCTTTTCCTTTGTGTCCTTTTGTATTCTTATCTTTACAGTACAATTCCCAACTACAAAAACTGTGGTATAGTAACAAACTAAATGGTTATTAAAAGAACCATCTCAGTGTTTTTGCAAGTCTCTTTTAGCTTCTGTTTGGATGATCAATTAATAATTCAAGTCATTTTTCTAAAATGTGATTTAATCGTGGGTTTGTCACCTTAAGCTTTTGAAAAACTAGATCATTTTCATTGTTCTGATGTTTCAAAGATGTAACTGATCATTTGATCATGAAAATAATTATTAGTTGTAACCCTGGTTGTTTTAACATGTTATTCTGAGGCCAGAGGGACTTTGCAGCAGTAGGTGATGCACACTTAAACCCAGCTGGACGAGAACAACTTCCAATATACTTTCTCTGCTATTTCCATGACCATGAATATTAGGAACACACAGATTCCAAACTTACTTGATATGTGCAGCCAGAGATACTATCGACATCCAAACACCCACACACTAAAGACTGCCACCCACGCAACACTTTAAGTTTCAGTCTCTGTGTGTCAGCACTGTGGTTGATCCTCTCTTCTGTCATTTGAGTGCTGATTTCAGCTGCTGGGTGTCACTAGCTGTCACCCTGCAACTCCAGCTATCCGGCTCCCCCCTTCCATTTGCTTCAGTGTCTTTCATTCCCAATGCTGTCACTCCCTGTTTTTCGAGCGACTTTATTTGCATGCTCTGCCCTGCGACCTTGAGTGTGTGAGTCACGGGGGATGGAGAGCAATTTTACTGAGGGCGCACAGTGGTTTTTGCAAGTGTAAACAACTTGTTCTCAGTCGGCCCGCTGGCTGCTCGACTCAGCTCTCAGTCAATAGGCGCAAGATAATGTTTATTCGTGCACGCAACCGGTGCATTCCCCTGACGCACTCAACGCCCCCAGCAACCAACTCCTTCTCATCCACTTCCCTCCTTCTCCCTCGTTCTTTCTCCTCCGTTCAGCCTCTGTCTGCATTATCACCAGAGACAGGCTGCTCCCTCTAGAGCAGCGAGACAGGAACCCTGTGTCGATCTCACCTGAATGATCCCTGTTGCGCCGACACAGAACCGATGGTGGGCCTCGGTGCCTCACATTTTCCGTAAAGGCTTCTTTCCAATTATATGCCACGGGCTGAGGAATGAGAGGGAGACGCATTGGACTGCAGGAGGAAGGGGCCGATGGAGGGAGCGGAGGAAGAAAAAGGGCAAGCGGGTGGTTGGGGTGAACAATGACAATGTCTGTATTTGAGAGAGTAGATGTCTGACAGATGTCTTCATTTGGGTGTGCACGGGTCCCAAATAGGTTTTCAGGGAGAGGAAATAAAAAAGGGGCCCGTCGTCCCCACCCTCCATCTCTCCTACTGTCTTGCTCACTCCCTTCTTCCCTCTCCATCTTTCCCTCGCTCTCTCCACAGGCTCTCCAGCTGCCTCTCATCCCCCTGTTATTAGGGTCCAGTAATGAAATGTGGAGTGTCTCGTATTGGTGCCTGGGCCCCGGCAAACTGCATTAGTGTGTAAATGGTGTGGGAGTAATGAGAAAGCACTCAGAACAGCCAGGAACACGGTTTTGGTTTTGTGTCCGTGTGTGTGTGTGTGTGTGTGTGCGTGCGTGCGTGCGTGCGTGCGTGCGTGTGTGCATCAAATGAATAACAAGAGACGTTGGGTGGAGCGGTGTTTCTGTCTCGGATGCCAATCCTGCGATTGTTAGCTTCCAACAGAAGAGAAGCTTAGAAAATCCATTTTGTCAGGAGCACACAATCTCACTAGTGGCCTAAAGCATCAACATCAACGTCCTTAAGTGGCTAACTTAATTCAAGCCTTTTTAAGGTGAGTTATGCAGGCTTAGCAAAAGGATTTATGCTTTAAAGCCTTACGGACAGACTTCATTAAATCAGTGGCTACGTTTGCTATCGCTAAATCATTTTTTTAAGGCGGTGACTCTCAGTCCTGCTCCTCTCGATCCTATCAGCTATAGCATTCACCTTGTTTCCCAGCTGTAATTAGCCTTTGTTTAGCTGTCAAGCATGGTATCCAGCAGGGGTCTGAAAACCACTGATGAAGAGCATAATATCTCCTCTTCTTCTTTACCAATCCAGAAGGGGAATACCTACTCCTTTTTTTTTTACACTGTCTCCTTGCATAATGTATAAGTGCACATTGCTCATACAAATGGGCCACACTATGGCTTTGTAATAAAGGGCTGTGTGTGAATGTGAGTTATTTCATTCCATTTCCTCTGGCCTGAAGGGCCTAAAGAGCCGCAGATACAAGACAGACACGCTCCATCCAGTAAATACTCTTTTCACGGATTGATTTTTTTTTTCTTTCTTTGTCTCTGCAGATATGCTGCCTAAGTCTGTGGAAAGTGTCTTCATTTTCCAGGAGGCATGTGAGAGCGACCCAAACTCGACCACACCGACATTTGATGCCATCGTGGTGGAGCAGTGGACCGTCATTAACGTGAGTGGAGAACGTTTCTCTTCCTTAAAGTGTCACAGGGTTTGTGCTTTTGTTTTAAAAGGCTGCATAACATATTGCTGCTAACCAAATTAATGTTTCCAAGCTATCTATTACTAAGCAGCTTAATATCCACAGAACAAAATATCCAAATTAAATATTGCACGATATGTTTCAGTAAATGCATGCATTGACTTATTTGGATGAAAGGGAGGAAAGAAAAATAAGGAGTTTTAACTCTGAATGGTTTGATGAAAATGAATAGTTAGGCTGTGCCCTTGCAGTCTCGATATTTCAACAAAATTAACAAGAACATGGTAGATTTTGAAATGACGAGTCAAACAGCACTCTTCACCATATCAAACAACAAATGAGGGAATATATTTGAGGGAAATTAAGGTGTATACCTCAAACAGAGAAGCAGGGGATTAGTAAATTGATACCAAGGGCCATTGAAGGTGTTATAAAGTTTTGTAGTAGGCTTTTTCTTCAATTCATCACCTTTTAAAATCATATGATATCGTGGCATTTAATCAATATATGAAATCCACATTGACCAGGCCTGTTTAGGGAACAAAGCATCTGAAAAAGCCTGATCCTCTGGAGTTGAAATCAGGTGTCACTCAGATATTGTGCCCTACACCCCCTCCTCACACTACAGCCAACCTTTCCCCCAACAACCCCAAAGGCAAATCTGACAAATCTCAATTTGAGGGACATGTGTCACGGTCGCTTGTCTTATCAGGAGCAAACAAGCCCTTATCTGCCCACCGATTAGCGTCTCCCCTCAGCACAAGTTCCAAGTTGAAAATGTATTTCTGCCCAGAGTTGAAGGGTTTGCAGCCATTTCTTGACTTTCATCTGTATGTGTGTGACAGTGTGTATACATGTTTGTGCATGCAGCTCTATGTGCCTGTCTAGGTGAGTTTGGTGTTGTTGGTCTGTATGTGTTTGCCGATGCTATCTCTGTAATTGAATTTAGACTTTATGCGGCCTCTGGCTGTCCAAGTGTGAAAGGAGACTTTTGTCGCCCAAATGTTGCTCTCTGATTGTCCAGCCCAGTGCTGATGGCCACATATGCCAATAAAAAGACTTCAGCGGCCGTGTGTCAGCAGCAGAGCCTCCCCTCCTCTGAGATGAATTGTAATACTGTTACAGCTTAATGGATTTCAAGGCTTCCTCAGAATAGTCAACAGTGAACAACACCGAACCTAAACCCAGTGTTCCAGGAGATCCAATCAACTCTTCCACTGGGAGTTTATCAGAAACTGTTTCACCAGAGCAATCTGCACCATGCCAAATCAGATTGACAACCCACTCTTTCACAAAGGGCGATCAGGGCCTCACATCATCCCCAGTCATTGTGATGACTGCCTAAAATGGATATGCAAAGTGTCCTGACAGCTCATTATTGTCTCAGTGCCAGGATAATTACAATGAAAAATAAGACAGGATATTGATTGTGGGTAAGGGTTTATTCTTCTTCTTTATATACGTCATTTGCTTTTCCCCCTAGTGCTTATTGTTTTATTTTTCCAAACGTCTGACAGGCGATTGGATGAATGAAGCTCAGAGAAGGAGAGGAACACAAGCCGTTTCACTGAGGGCAAGCAATCATTTATATTGTCGTCAAGTGGGAGTGTATCATCTCTGTGATGGCGTCTGTTCATCACTGAAGGATAACGTTTTGTTCCATTTATAAATGAGTAACGACTAATCAGAGGATTTGCATGTGAAAAAGCTTTTGAGTTTCTAATGGCATCAGATCTACAGGTGTTCACAAAACAGCAGAATGGTGATGAGATGCAGCATATCAGATTACTACTGAATATGGATGCATATGACTATTTATAATACTGATTTCTAAAGTTATTCAACTTTTCAATGAGATCATTTTACATAATGTGACATGTGGAAGCTAGATTAGTTGTGCTGTGTCATGAAAAGGAATTTAACTCAATGTTTGCTTTTTTTATGAGTTATGAGTTGGATAATTCATAACATTTTCCAAGTAACTTACCCTACAAAGGTTAACAAAGACTGTATGTACTATACTTCAGGGTTTCCCACACATAGACTTTACTTGGGCGGGCCGCCCAGGTATATTAACGGCCGCCAAAGTAGATTTCGCGACCCATTTAGGTTTTTTCTTTTTCTTTTGTTTGCGATCGATTAACTTATGGACAATGATCCCTCGCTCTACGCCTCCTGTACCCAGGCCCGGACTGGCCATCGGGAGGACCGGGGGGTTTCCCGATGGTCTGGCCTGTTAAGTGGCCTGCCTCACACAGGGTGACTGGCTGTCTGATATGGCCTGCCGACATGGCCACTGTCATACAGATCATAAATCAAAGCCCTCGATTGGTCCCTGTGTGTCATTTGACGGGGTAATGATTAGTAAAATATGCATGAATAAAATTTAAAAAATGTTAACTAGGTGAAAAAAGGTAAGATACACTTTTAAAACTTGTTGAGAGCTAAAACTAGTCTTTGCTGCTGCCTCAAAGAGGAGCAGGGGGGAGAGGGGGGAGAGGAGGGAGACAGGAGAGGCTGATTCAGGAGCCCAGACACACTCAACTATAAATGAACCAAAAATAAATAAATAAACAAGTTTCAGTGTTTTTTCACATTGGATATGTTATTGGTTATGGACATGATTTTATGATTATTGAAATGTATACAGTTCTGTTTCATATAGGTATTCCAATAGATCTAGTCTCTTTATTTCCCCCTCAAAATGCAGCAGATTGGTGCATTTGACTCCAAAATAAAATAAAAAAATCACCCTATGGGCAGCAACGCTTTAAATATTGACAAATAAGTCCAGCAAAATGGCACAAAAAAAAAACTGGTAGTGGCCCGGCTGGGTTTATAATTTCTGGCCTAAATTATTGTCTCGGTCCGGCCCTGGCTGTAGCTGTTCACTCTGCCATCGCGTGAAAGGTCTGCTAACAAGCGATCAACAGAAAGGTTAATGCTGTTGCACGTCACAAAGGCACGTCAACCCCCCCAGGTATATTTCAGATCTGTGGGAAACACTGTACTTAGTTATTATGCTACAAGTGACAAGTATTTCCTTAAAATAAACGTTCTGACTAGAAAACAGTGACATCGAAAATAAGAAGCTTCCATAAAAAAAAAAATGTAGAGTCCAGTGTTAGTTTGTTTAGTTGTACTGTAATAGGATTATTTATTTATTTTTAAAGTATTAAAGTACAATGATAAAAAGCCAACAAATGTAAAATGAGTAAAAAAAATATATACAAACAATCATTGAAAATATGAAAGATAAAAACAACTACAAAAACGGTGTCAAACTGACAAACTAAGATGCATGTTCTATGTAAATGATTTCTACTAAATGACAGCAGAGCACAGCCTGAAGATAAACAGCACAAAAACAACAAAATGACGAGCAACCGAGACACTCTAAGTACAGGACGTTCAATTTGTAAAAAGCCTGCATATATTCTGCATAAAAAAGCCATCAGTGCCAAAGAGCCGATACAGACATTACAAATAGCTTTATCATAAAAAAAACACATATTTTTAACAGATGCTCTGAGAAAATCTGAAGATGCAGCATGTGCCTGAACAACGACCTGAATAGGAGAAACCATATGGATGGTGGGGAAGTGCTCCAAATGAATAACTCATCGAGGGTCTCTGCTATGAAACGGCAATTAGGACCAGCTTCATATTTCTTGTGTCCTGTGGGAAAGTCAATACAGGAGCTGCCGTGAAACTAATGTTCTGAGAGCCCTCTTTCCTATGGCAGACTTTTAAAAGGAGTAATAAACAAACAAAACATGTCCTCCTTCAGGCCTCAGCTACTGTAGGGTTGGTCTTAATATGTTTGTTTGCCATGTGCTGCTGCTGCTGCTGCTGGATACTTTATTTATCAGGAGGGACAACGTGCATTTGCAGGAGGGTGTTTTGTTTCAGTTTTTATGTATCAAGATAAAAAAAGCAAAAGGAGCAAAAACATCCATGTGCGGTTTATTAAAAGATGAAGTAATATTTACCTGAGCACAGCTGACGCCTCTGAGGAGTCTGATGCTTCTATAGAAGCTTTCTTACTCTATTTTCTACCTTCCCTATTGTGTATGTAAAGAGGTAACCATTATCCACTTGAACTCTGCCAGACACAGTGGTAGGGCCATTATGACAAATCAATGTTGTGCAACAAGCAGTATTTCTAATTCTCAACATCATACTAAAATGTAACATGTCTAAAAAGAGGGTTTGATTTTGCACAGACGTCGAAAAGAGACTTCACACATACCCCCTTCCAATGCACCTATAATTGCTGAATAGATAAATATGTATGTATAAAATAACTGCAAGAAAATGATTGAAGTATTATTTGCATAAAGAAGCTCCCTGGTTACCACAAGAAAAGCATTGATAGTGGGCATTATTAGCGCCGTTGTACAGTAATATAAACAATCACTTCTGTTTTAGGACTTTTATGCTCACAAAATGATTTAAAGTTGAATGAACTGCTTTCTCTCTTCAGTTGATTATGATCTGAAGGCAGGTTACTAATAAGATATTTATGCTTCTCAACATTTACAACTTTTCGAGCATTTACTTCTGCTCTGTCTGGCTTGCTCACGCCTTGATCTTGACAACTCGTAACCCAAAAGACCAGAGTTTAGAGAGTGTGTGTCGCCTCCTGCCAAAAGACACCCTGAAAGTAAATGTCAGAGGAGTTCAAATTTAAGAAATGGCAGTCCAAAGTCAAAGCAAGTGAAAGGAGTTTAACAGCGCTGACATTGTTGTCACTCATTCCCAGAATTCACTTGCATCCGCGGCTTTGAAGAGCGGCACGTCACAGTCGACCACAAACTAAAGAAATGGGATTAGGGCCTCACATCTCAGCATTGGCACGGCAGGGAGGAGGCTTTGAAGAAATAGTTTAAGACACATACAAGGACACCTCCGCTCCGTCACACACACGTGAACAACTCCCGTGTTGAATTCACGTTCACACAAAAGCC